AAAAGATGACTTAGCGTGGGACTCTGTTGAAGTAAACTTATTGCTTACAAAATCAGATTATTTTCATTGTATAGGAACAAATTTCACATCACTGATACCTTCCTAATGAAATATTGCTGACATTGTAGTGGATATATTTAGTAAGCAAATTTAACAAGAGAAATTAGCAAAGACCTGTTATATCTCTTAAACATGCATGTTTTGAAAAGTTGCTTATAAAAATGAAATACTGAACTTCATGTTTCTGCTGTATTTAATTGGGAAAAGGTTTAAGTTATGTATGTTTTATAATCTGTGATGCCAAGGTGGCCATTCAAAGCCTTTCTAGAAAATACTGCTAAAGACTGCATATAATTGTGACAGAAGTGAAATCTGAAAATGAAGAAAATACTGTTAAACTGCCCACCAAGAAGTTCGTCGTGGAGAATGCAAGGCTGGAGTGAGAGAAACTGTAGAGGAATTGCAGTTCCCAGTGAATGTATAGTTATAATTGTATCTGATGGAGCAGTACATTTCCTACTTCAGCAACCTTATAGAATGATGGAAGCATTTTATAAACAGTTTTTCCAGATCTCACTGCTATCTGTCATTTCTTGGATCTCTGCCAAGCATTATTTGTTCTGAGTGCAGGTCCCTATTGATATTCACTGGGATGAGCATGTGCTCCATGCACCTCAGACAGGAAGATTTTTCAGTAGCAGTCCATGCCTGCACTCTACACCACCTCATGCTCTGAGCTGAGTGTGTAAGGGGTTGCATGAATTGTTTGCCTTCTGGGTCTTCCTGGTTAGTGATCCTCACAAGAGATGCCTGTACTATCTCAGGGAATTACACATTCCTTCTAAGTGTGAGAACTGCCATTCTTTCCCCCATGAACTAGACAGTCTTGTGAATTCTAGCTTTGCAGATATTTAATTGAGCTCTCCATGGGGCCCCAATCTGATCCTGGATGTTGAGCTCCCCGGCACATTGACTGGAGCTACCAAGTAGTGCCCCTCCGGCACTGGCATTCCCTAGCTCAGGATCCTTGATCAAATCTGAGGACTTCTCTAAACAGAGACATGAGGATGGTATGTGTAAATGTCCCCATAAGAAGCAGGATGAATAGTCTTGTAAGTTCTTGACGAAAACGACTGCTTCTCCCCTCCTCTCCCATCTAGTCAGACTCAACACCCATGTAGGGGTGTGTCTGAAGCTCACGGGAGCATGTATCTGCACTGACCATACCAAAAGCAAAGAGCACGCTGAAATATTGGACTGACCCCCTGTACCTCTTACCCATGCATATGCTTACAACCATTCCTGAATCGACGGTCTCAGAACAGAGGCCAGAACAACCACCATTGCAAGCCAGGGTCCCTCCATCTGGCAGCATGGTTTTTGAATAGACAAAGAGATTAGAGAGATCGTGCTCAGAAGAGGTCCAAACCATCCTTAACAGCAGGAAACCCTCTACAGTCATCAGTGATTAGACAATGGCATAGAGAGTACACGTACAAAGTTTACGGACGATACCAAGCTGAGAGGGGTTGCAGGTACTTTGGAGGGTAGGATTAAAATTTAAAATGTTCTGGACAAATGGCCTAAAGTAAATAGGATGAAATTCAATAAGGACAAATGCTAAGTACTCAGCTTAGGAAGGAACAATCAGTTGCATACATACAAAATAGGAAATGACTGCCTACGAAGGAGTACTGCAGAAAGAGATTTGGAGGTCATTGTGGATCACAGGCTAAATATGTGTTAGCAGTGTAACACCGTTGCAAAAAATGTAAACATCATTCTGGGATGTATTAGCAGGAATGTTATAAGCAAGACACGGGAAGTAATTTTTCCTCTATACTCCGTGCTGATCAGGCCTCAACTGGAGTATTGTGTCCAGTTCTGGGTGCCACATTTCAGAAAAGATGTGGACAAATTGGAGAAAGTCCAGAGAAGAGCAACAAAAATGATTAAAGGTCTAGAAAACGTGACCTCTGAGGGAAGATTTTAAAAATTGAGTTTGTTTAGTCTGTAAAAGATATGTCCTTAAAGACACTTGGTCTATCTATTCATTCCTTGTGAGTATATTTAGCAGCTATTAACTTCTTCCATCCTCTGGTGGTGAGCTGCTCGGTTTTCACCCATCCTACAACTGTGAGATTCTTAAAAGGTATTATCAGAATCTCTCTCTCTCTCTCTCTCACACACACACGCACGCGCGCACACACACACACTCTTATGAAAACCTACATCTCTCTAGAACCTGAACCTGGTTCTCTCAGCCCACCATTCAAGCATTCAGACATGGTGGACCCTTCCCTATACAGTGTTTCACAGAGACAGTCCCCTTCAGATTCCATCTGAGGTTCATCCAAAGGTTCCCTCTGAATTTCACTTGAATCAAAATTGCCTATTTTATTCTACAAATCCCACAGTAACAGGTATGTGTGCAGAGTTCTCATCTATTTGTAAAGGACAAAGTCCTTTAGGAAGTTGCTGAGATTATTGGTTTCCATCACCGAGAGAATGAAAGGAGAAGCAGTCTCTTTGCAAAAACTCTGTAAATGGACTTTGGACTGCATCCTCCTTGGCTATGGGATTATGAACGCCCCTTCACTACAGAGTGTCAGGGCTCACCCATCCAGAGCACAAGCTACCTCAGTGCAAAGAACTCGTCTCATAAATATTTAGACTGGCACCCTGGGGCTCAAGTCACATTTTTATTGGACATCAAGCTCTTGTTCAAGCTTCACCATCTGATGCCTACTTTTTGTCCTGTGATCTATGGCACAGCATATTTGCTTGCACCTTCCTCCTCCAGTGAGTCCTGCTTGGGAATCCACTGCAGTGAATACCCATAGGGAACAGCACTCAAAGAAGAAAGTAAGGTTACTTATCTTAACAGTAACTGGAGTTCTCTGAGATGTGTGGTCCCTATGGGTATTGCACAACCCACCCTCCTTCCACTCTTCTCACATCCTCTCTTGATTCAGGGTAGAGTTAGGAACTGGAGAGGTGGTCAGACTGTGCCACCCCTTAATGCCGTTGATTCAGAGCACAAGGTGGTGTAGGGTGCAGGCCTGGATCAATGGACCTTGCTACTGAAAAATCTTCTGGTCTCTGGGGCAAAAATACCATTAGGGACTATGCAGCTTGAGCGTCAGTTACTGTAAGGTAAGTAACCTTCCTTTCTGAGAGTCTGCTCGCTACTGCTGAGAATACTTTACACTGTTGCCAACTTTTTTCTGGGAATGATATAGGTTGCTTTTTGTGACATTCCGTTTCTAATAATTAATGCTGTGTAAATATTTATTCCAAGTTAAATGAAGTTGGCAAGCAAACAGTATTTATTCTAAAACTGTACTAAAATTATCTCAAGTTTATCATAAGAAAAAACAATTTATCTTAATGCGATAGCTATGTGAATAGTATATTAATGGCACAGATTATTGCAAGCTAAAATAAATATATGAAATAATTTAATACTTATATTTCTATCTCTTTAGAATTGCTACAATATATTGGTAACCATATAGTTCCTACATAGATGCTATAAATGGTCACTTAACTTGTTTTAGTGAATTACAAAAATAAGACTTTTAACTGTTAAATACTGCTAGTTACAGTTTGGTACTTTGTCAGATAGCAAAAGTAAGATCTCTCACAACCATAATGTGAGGAAGACTTGGCGATATTAACCAGTGTCAAGTGGTTTGTGCTGGCAATTATTTGTTTTTGGTGGAAGGTTCCATAAAGAAAGAATAAACCACTGAAGAGAGAGACAGAGAAAGGAGCAGAAGTAGATTGCTAGTCCTCACTGATCACTCTAAGGAGAATTTTCCATACTGCTCCTTCCTTGCATCTGACCCTAGTGGCGTTGTACTGAAAAGGAACATCACAAGAGTGCTTTTCTTGTTGGCATACTACACCCATATTTGATGAGCACTTCTCAAGTGATGCTGCAGTTACTGATAGTTTGAGAAGTTACTTGAACTCCAGCATAGGCATGGAGAACAGAGAAAATACATAAACACACTACTACAGAAACAGCTGTTGACCAACAAATGCTCATGGCTGCTTCTTATCCTGCTTGTGGGTGTGAGAGGCATCCTTCATATTGGCCTCTGATTAGTTAAGCATCTGACAAATATTGATGCCTTGTTAATAGGAGATATAGGCATGGCTCTAATTAACTTTCCTTTGATGACTGAATTGAGCTTTTAAAACAGGTGAGTTGTGCTTTCAGGAAGTTAAATTGACAAGAAATTCTGACATTTCAAAAAATTTCATTCCAAATCTGAGCAAAAATCTGAAAGTTCAAAATTTCCCACAAATTGAAAGTTCAGAAAAGTTTCAATTCAGCAGCGTTTTGATTCAAGAAATGTTTGAACTTTTTTATATTATATTTTATATGTAGGATCATGGAAATGTAGGGCTGGCAGGGACCTAGAAAGGTCACCCTAATCTGCTTCCCATGTTGAGGAGGACCAAGTTTATACCTAAACCATCCCAGACGTATAATACAGAATATAATATTTTAATGTTAAAGTAGAAACTAAATGATTTCAGACAACACTATTGAAATGCAACTTTTGGATCTTTTTCTGTCAATTTTGTTAAAATGGATACGTTCTTACAAAACACTTTTATTTTGATAAAACTGCATTTTTGCTGAAAATCTGTTGGGCAAAAATTTGACCAGCTTGTTTAGTTTCAGATTATTTGGCAGCATAGCAACTGATCACAGGACCATAGTTTTTCTTTTCAGCATTGTAGTAGTGTGTTTCCTAGATAATTTAAAGCAATTAGTACAGTAATTTGGCCTATTCAGAAAGAGGTGCACTATAATACAAGCTACATTATAACGTGTCTAACATTGTTAAATAATCATACAAGTATTAAATAAAAAAATAAGGAATACTTGTATTAAAATAAAACATTGAACTACATTGGGTTATAAATAGAATAAAAGACATTTTTCTGCACACTAGCTTAATCCTGTTTGTATCTATATACAGAAAGCATCGAAACAACGTGGGACCTAGCAAACCCATTTCTCAGCCCCGAAGAAATATTGTAGGGTGCAGAATACAGCATGGATGGAAAGAAGGGAGTGGACCTGTAACACAATGGAAGGGGACAGTTCTTGATCAGGTTCCTGTAAACCCTTCTCTCTACCTTATTAAGTATGATGGATTTGATTGTGTCTATGGACTAGAACTGCACAAAGATGAAAGAGTGTCAGCGCTTGAAGTCCTTCCAGACAGAGTTGGTAAGTGCTTTTTGAGGCATGTGCATATATATTGCATGCTCTGGACAGGATGCTGGATGGAGCTGCTGCATTGCATTTTGTCAAGTCTGTGGACTTTTATTAGTAAATGTTCTCCCTATTTTGGAGTGAGGAGGAAATTTTACTCTCACAAATTAAATAACTTATCTTTATATTACATGGAGTGCTATAGAAGTTCAGTACTGTAAATTGTCAGTCATCTAATCGGCATGTTTATATATGATATAATATTGATCAACCTTATTCACAGCCAAGATTGCTCTCTAAAAAGCTTATGTAGTGCTTAGACTGATATTTCTGCTAAATGCTAATTTGTTGATGCTGAGTGAGAGTTCACATTTTACAGTTCAATTTCATGAGAATTTTCTTTGCTGTACTCCATATTCTATGGTCCTGTATTAAGTGTTTCTCATATGCCTTTCCTGAGAAGTAATAAAAATAAAGTGAAATTTCTTTAAAAATGAAATAATTGAATTAATGTGTTTTGTTTTCAATAGCTCAGTCTGAATTTTTAAAACATGTAGCATGTCTGAAACATTTATTAAAGTTCAGAATTCATGCAAATTGTCACTGACTCTCAAACTAGATCAGTTTTTTTTATTGGCTGCAAGGAGTTAGCAGTGCTTCAAGAAGAAAAAAATTCAGTGACAGTAGAAAACTCTTAAGGCTATTTTATGATCAGTCCTCACCCCTTTTGCTAAAAGTTTATTTTTAATAGAAACAAAGATGTTGTGGCATCTGCTCTGTAACCCACAATCGGTTTTCCTTAGTGTTTCTAATTATACTTTTCTGTAGTGTGAGTGCAGTGAGTTAGGGCTTGTCTACACATAAAAATTAATGTGGAATACAGTAGGGTGTGAGTTTAAAGTGGATTAATTTCCTGATTAGCTCCATGTGTGAATGCTCTTGTTCCAGAATAAGTGTATCCACACATGGAATTTAACCGGGAATAGCTATTCTAGAATAATTGACAATGTCGACAAGCCCTTAGTTAATAATCATAGCTAGAATTCCACATCTTTGTAATCTGGATATACCCAGAGAATAAAAATATCTACCAGTTAAATCATTTAATTGTCTATTTTGTAAAGAAAACAATTTGAATGAAGCCCTTTTTATGATTTTTATGGAAGATGTAGTATGCAGGCTTCCAAGTGGTCCTGAATTTTATGCAATATTGTGTACGTATTTCAGCTTCTTCTCGAATCAGTGATGCCCACCTGGCAGACACAATGATTGGCAAAGCTGTGGAACATATGTTTGAAACAGAGGATGGCTCAAAAGATGAGTGGAGGGGGATGGTCTTGGCTCGAGCTCCTATAATGAACACGTGGTTTTATATTACTTATGAGAAGGATCCTGTCTTGTACATGTATCAGCTCTTAGATGACTATAAAGAAGGTGACCTCCGCATTATGCCTGATTCCAGTAAGTACGCTAGTACGTTTTTTTTCCTTCTAAAACTAAAATGAGAGCTCAGTTTCCATAGACATTGGGTTTGTTTGTTTTCTGAAATGAAAGAGCTGACAAACTGCAAGAACTGCAAAAGATTCATATGATCTTAATATTAGGGATGACTCCTAAATGGTGGTAATCTGAAACAAGGATAAAATGGTTATTGTATTAGCTTATACTAACACCATCCACTTTTTCCATGTGTATAGGTATTCTCCCTCAAAAATATTGGTTTAATCATAGCACAATTTTGATGGGGAAGCAAAATTAGGCTTTTTTTGTTCCATTGTGTTACCTTTTAACTAAATATAACAGATCATAAGGGTGAAAGTGAAACTAGATGAATTCATGTACACTAATTAAACATTGTGTGTGTTTGGGGGAGGGGAGGAGGGAGAAATAAGTGTTCATTTTAAAATGAAACAATGCATGTAGGAAAACACTTGTAGTCCATGACAGTCTGTGTAACAAAGGAATTTGGAATTTCTTTCAAAGGATTTTGCACAAATTAGAATCATTGTCACCCAATTAAACACTGTTTTCTTAAATGATCATATCAGGACATGGGAATTTTGGTTGATAACTCTTAAAGACTTCTGGTATGTGTGTTTCTGAGTCAGCAGCACTATAGGAAAGATGGTAAGGGAAAACAATGTGTGTGCACATGTGCCATTCAAACATTATAATACACAATGAAATGAGCATACATGCACACACATTGTGAAGGTTTTTCCCTAAATTTAATTTTCAGCCCTGTAAATGTAGATGAGAACAACCAGTTTGTTTGCAAGTTGGTATGATAAAAAGAATATAATAGAATTCTTTAAACATCTCTAAAAGACTTGAATGTTAGTTCATTAAAAATTACCCTTGTCTTAATATTATTCCCTTTTTGATTAAATTTCACTTTACACTGCCCCCACTTTGTGCTCTGTGTGGTGCAGATTTCGTATTGACCATGTCTGTTACAGGAGTTATTCAAGGGGAGGCTGGAGGTTTTGAGAGACGGATTTTTGAAATCCAGGAAGGTAGAGGGGCGATTGTGTGTCTTGGATTTTTTTTTTTTTTTTAATTCAGGTGGCAATTGAAGCTTTTGGCACTAGGGAAAAGGAGAAGCGGGGGCTGTATCTCGTCTCCCTCTTGGCCAGGAATAGAGTGTACTTTGTATAAACTTTGGGGGGAAAGAGATTGTCTCCCTCACTTCACTGTAGCATATTATACCCCTACATCCAGCTATGATTATTAAGCATATTAGCTCAGCATTTCTGCTAAAATGATCAGTAATGAAACTATTAGTTTGATTTTTTTTTCCCTTTTCCTCCCTTGGCTGCTCTGTGGATTTGGCGAGGGGAAGGAGCGTCAGATGGGTACTAGAAGATTTCTCTTCCATTAACTGAAGGAGAGAAGTGCTGAATCTTTAAAAATGAGACAGGAAAAACAAAAAACAGTGTTTTAAATAGTCTGAATAAAAATGACATACCCCCACCTTCAGTGAATGAGGTTCTTGATTCTTGTGCTGTTGTATTAATAGTAGATCTCCAGGTATTCACAGTGTCTTCCAGGGTAGAAAATATTGAATTACAAATCTAGAAAACAAACAGGAAAATTCCTTTAAAAAAAAAAATAAAAACAAAAAGTTTTCAAGAGTGGACCGCTTTACCCAGGTGAATGAATTGTGAGAGATGCTTTGACTTTATAATGGGTTGTTCATTTAGTTGCTGAAGTCCTTGATGGATGAAGCTTTCTATAAACATTATTGCTGGAATCCATTCATTGGGTTCTTAACTATGTGGTACAGTTATTAGTAGACAATATCACACCAGTGTCATTATACCTGAACAACCAGGATATACTCAAGGTTACAGCCTATGGCTCTTTGGAGTGATATGCTAATTGTCAGATCAACCCAGCTTCTCCATCTGGCAGTGGGGAAAAAAACCTGTGTGCCACCAGCATGAATCACGGACGATGGAAGCTGTAATTGTACCTGTTCCCAAACAAGTCAGTGGTACTGTTTCAGAAATGGGGTCATGAATCAATAAATCTGTGTTCTACCAAAAGCAATTTTAAATGTCCCTGGTCCTTTTTTCTGTTTCAGGGCAGGAAAGGATCCCAGCTCTGACAAATGGCTTTTTATTGGACTGAGGCCATGGTTTTGTGTCTTCCCTTCCATCCCTCCTTTACGCCCTCCTCCCCCCCACCCCATCTCATAGCTGAGGAGACAAGGTGTATATACTTTTCATAGTTACAGATTGAGTTAATGAGTTCTGATACTCTGATCTCCTGCGCTTGATGTTGGAGCCTCTTGTACTTGTCACTGTGTTTCCAGGAACAGTCAGTCTTCCTGAGGTTTGGAAACTTCACTTACCATACTTATCCTCCACTACCCAAAAGACCCACACAAGCTCAAAAACAACCTCTGCCTCATCTGACTTAGAGCCATTGGTACTCCATGCTACAGGGCCCCTGTGACCACTTACTGACCCCTCCTGCTGTCCATATTGGGGGGGGGGGGACGCCTCAGGACCAGTACCACCCTGCAGACTCTATCAAATTTACTAGGGAGTCACCCCTTGCCTCATCTCTAAGGAAATGTTCCCATCAGGGATGCTGGAACAATATGTGTAGTCAGGGTGCTGAGAGCCATTGAATCAAACTGTAACCTTGTATATGATGGAAACCATTTCAAGCCAGGGGGTGCAGCATCACTCCCTGCACTCCTAATTCTTGCACCTATTTGCTCCGATCTACCTCTGGATCTGACATAGGAGGAAGAATACTATGTGCTGGTTTCACCAGAACCAGGAAGACTGCTATCATCTTCCCCAGATGAAGCGGTTGCTTCTACATCTCCATACATACATACATACATTCTCTCTTTCTTCTCCCCCCCCCCCCCCCAATGACTTCAGGAAGAGGAATTTCCAGGACCTTCTCTGCAGAGTCGCTGGAGAGCTTCATGTTCCCCTTGAGGAGATCCAAGATTCCCAGAGCAAACTCTTAATCATACTGTACCTCTCCGGACCCAAGAGAATAGCTCTCTCTGTTAACAAAACTATACTGGAGCAAGCTAGCACAGTTTGGCCACCTCTGCTACCTGTGCTCCTACCCTCAAAGGGGCAGAGAAGCATTGTTATGTGCTGGCTAAAGATGCAGAATTTTTGTTGTCTCATCCAGCTCCTAATTCGTTGTTGGTCCATGCCATCTCTGAAAGGACCAGACAGCAACATGCCAGGTCTACTCCTGCAGACAAGGAGGATAAACACCTGGATCTACTGGGAAAAAAGTTCTTCTCATCATCCAGCCTCCTGTTCAGAATAGCCAGTTACCAGGCATTGCTGGCTAAATACGATTCCCTAAACTATGGCAAGTTTGTGAAGTTTACTGACAGAGCTCATTTCCTACCTCTGATGTACAAAAGCAGACTGATAGCCAGGACCACCCTCCAATCTGCAGTCAGTGCCACTGATACCTCTTCTAGAGTTATGGCAACTGCTGTTGTCATGTGCAGGGAATCATGGCTCCTTGCATCAGTTCCTTATGAGTCTACTTGGCAGCAATCAGTACATACCATTCACCTTCTCAAGACTACTGAGGTTTCGCACACCCACTGACTAATAGATTCTGGAAAGGCTTGGTAAGAACCTTCCCGCCTACTCAGAGGCTTGCGTCCCAGTGGAACCTGAATCTTGTTCTCTCAGTGCTAACAAGACTCCCCTTTGAGCCTTTAGCTACTTGCTCCATGTCCTTCCGCTCCATGAATGTTGCCTTTCTTGTAACCATCACATCAGCAAGAAATGTTGGGAAATTTGGAGCAATGATGGCTGCCCCTCCATACACCGTATTCCATAAGGATAAGGTTTCCTTACATCTGTGCCCCAGATTCATCCCTAAAGTAGTTTTGGAATTTGACCTTAACCAGTCCATTAATTTACCTGTGTTGTTCCCAAAACCACACGCTTCCGCAGATTCCACTCCCTCGATGTTTGATGAGCCTTGGCTTTCTACCTGCAGAGAACAAAATCAATCAGGAAATCCCTGTGACTATTTGTCTCTGTATCAACAACAGTCAGAGGGCAGGCCGCCTCCACCCAGAGAATCTCCAAATGGATATCTGGCTGCATTCTACTCTGTCAGCTCTCAAACCCCTCCCCTTTCACGCTGGGGCTAAGAGCTCATTCCACCAGAGCGCAATCAACAACGGTAGCATCTCTTCAGGAGGTACCCTCCTGGACACTTGTAAAGCAGCTATGTGGAGTTCCATTCACCCATTTGTAAGACTGGTGCAGGATTATTCTGCTGATGCCTCCTGTGGGAAAACAGTAGTCCGCTCAGCCATACCGGCCACATCCTCGCACCTTCCTCCTGTTTAGGTACTGTTTGTCCATCACCCACAGTGGACTACAATAGGGACCATCACACGAATAAGAAAAGACTTATCTGTAACGGGAGGTTCTTAAGATGTGTGGTCACTATCTGTATTCCTCTTCCACCCTCGTTCCCCTCTGCTTCAGATCTTATCTGATTCATGGTGGAGAAGGAACTGTTGAGGTGAGCCAGGGCACATACACAGACACTACTTTCAAATTCTCTGGCTCCAGACACATAGTCTCCATGCGTAACCCACAGTGGAATACAGACAGGAACCACACATCTCAAAGAACTTCCTCATTTGTTACTTTGCTTTATGTGCATGTGCCTACACAGGAGCTAATAGATGCAGAAAGTCTAGGAGGCTAGTATAAGATTTCAGTTTCTTAAAATTCTGGTTGCAGTGTTACCTAAGTAAATTTTTTCCTGTAATTGTAAACTGTGGAACTGATGAACTCTGTTTGACTGAATAGAATACAATTTTTAAAATGTTCTTCTCAAACAATGTAATTCATCTCTTCTCACCATTCCTGATATTTAAATAAATTCTGAAGACATCTTTGCAGTTGTTACGTGGATTGAAAATCCTTAAACTCCTAACTAAACACATCTTATTTTTGTGTTACAGATGATTCGCCTCCAGCAGAACGGGAACCAGGTGAAGTTGTGGACAGCCTGGTAGGCAAACAAGTGGAATATGCCAAAGAAGATGGCTCTAAAAGGACTGGCATGGTCATTCATCAAGTTGAAGCCAAACCTTCTGTCTATTTCATCAAGTTTGATGATGATTTCCATATTTATGTCTATGATTTAGTGAAAACATCTTAGACATCATCGTGAACTTTTGCCAAACTTGTGGAACTATTAAATGTAAAATTTGTAGACACAAAGACTTGACTGCTTTCCAGTTTAATGAAAGCTTAAATGTCCCTGCGAACCCACAATCTCTGCCAACAAAACTGTTTTGTTCTGAATAATACAAACAAATTTGTGTGAACATGACACATTTTGTGAAAGGGAACTCCTTTTCTTGAAGGAAGTCACTATATTTTTGGGGAGAGGGAGTTAAAGTAAACAGCTGCAAATTCAAGCTGTGTAAAGTTGATCTAGTATTGTAATCATTAATCTAAAAATTTTTTCATAGCCTTTAACTTTTTCTTCAACCTCGCACTCACCTGTTCAACTGCCACATGCAAGTGTAGTTTGATATTTTCAATATTGCCTTCTTATGTAACATTAAATCTAATTTCTTGGCTACTGGCAGTCCTTGTTTTCAGGGTTGGGGTTGAGATGATTTCAAAAAGAAGTAAATGGTTGGTTTGTGCAGTTTTAAGGAGTGCCTAACCCAAGTAACATCAATCTACTGTGTTTCTACACCTTATTTCAGGGTAGCTTTTTAAGAAATAGCAGTACATGGGAATATTTGTGCATCTTAGTAGACACAAGACAGTACAACATCAAATGTTTGACTTGCACCTTTCAGTGAAAAGGCTTCAAACTATAAAAGGTTTAATCATCTATATAAACTGTTGATTAGAAAATGCAGGTTAATGGCCCACATTTACAAGTTGTAGGAACCAGTAAAACTAAACCAAACAAGGCTGCCTTCAATTCTAAATGTTGTATTTTTGTTATACACACGTCTTAACAAACCCAAGTGCGTGGTGCCACAACAGTCATAACATTATGTTACTTCAGAAAGATCTTTAGACTACACATTGGCAATCAGTAGTCTCTCATTTAATATAAAAATTAGCAACCTGGATGTTTGTGTGTGGACTTAAAAGCCTAATAGTTTATCTGTTACATGTAAAGACAAAAACCTCATGAAAGAACAGTCCTCTTTCATTAAAGACTTATTTTAGAGAAGGAGAAGCATTTGTTGCCTTCTGCTCAGTCTGCTGCATTCCTTTTTTTTTTATTATTATTTTCTCCCAAGAAAACATCTTTCTTAGCTCTTCTTTCTGGCTTTTCTACGAGTGTCCGGACAAATCATCTACAGCTTAAACCTGTTGTCGCCTTTTGTGGTGTACGTTGTACTCGCTTTGAGGTATGCTGTTACGTGAATTTCATTCAATGAACACTAGAGTTCTGCATGCCAGTGGTGTACTAACTAATGAAAGCTATAGGCAGCCTCAGTGGTTTGGTCATCTGCATTAGATTGTGGATGTAAATAGCAGCCCACAGCAGAAGAATCCTTTCACGGTTTTAATCTTGCAAGATAGTTGTAAACCAAGGTAGTTTTTTAAATTTGGCAGTTTTTAAAAGTAATCAGAATGGCAAAAATGGTCAGTTCAGCACTAAATTGTCATGTCACATTAGGGCAGAGCTTTGCAAGTTTGAAAGCACTGCTTCACAGAAGGCTAGTATGTGAAGCCAGTTATCACTGTTGAGGGGAGGAACACCCAGATACCCAACCTTACACAGAAGACTAGAAAAAGGTGCTGTTAATCAGAGATCTGAGGCCCAGATGACCTCTACTATGGATGTCCTTGACATTGAAGATTCAGTGGTTTAAGCCCCTGTCTATCCATTTTTGCCTGACTTCATATTTTAGCCTTAAGGCTTGTGCCTCATTATGCTGTTGAATGGTAACAAATACTCACCATATAAATACAGTACCTTAATTCTTTGTCCATTGCTACTATTGCATTATGTCCAGTATTTCATCATGGGCAACCAAAGGCAGGCCATTGTCTTTCAGTGAATAGCTTCTCAATGCAGTCCTTAAGTACTAAGTACCTGAATCATAAATGTTCCTTGTGTTTTTGAACAAAGTGAGCAGATTTGCAACATAGTGTTTTCATCCTGCAGATCTGTTATGTGTTTTCTATTGACTCTTAAGAGTCCTGCATGTAAATCTCAAAGCTGAGCCTGGCTCCATGAGCCCAAGTTGATATTTGTGGCACAAGAATGAGTGAGTGTATTGATTATACACAGGATACGTGCATAACGTAGTACAGTGAATTTTGGGCTATACATCTGAGGAAAACAAAGTTTGTTTTGAAATATTTGAAGTTTAGGTCTACTGAAACATTTTTAGCATTAAAGGCTTGCATTTGTGGGTTTTCTGCAAGCCACTTTAATATACCACATAATCTGCCAATTAGTGGAGTATAATCTGTAATTTTTTATGGCCTTTTAAGTGTCCCCGTTGTCTGTTGCTTTGTTGGTTTTTGGGTTGGGTTTTTTTGGTTTTGTTTTGTTTTTTGATAGCTTAAATCACCTTTTTTGTGGCTTGACACTAATTCCACTTCCTGCCCTTCTGCTTTGGGCTTTGTTTTAGGCTCATGTTTCAGATCTGCATGCAGTGCTTGCGTTACCCTGGTAACTAAATGTTGGTTCCTTGTTCTAGGGGTTCAACATTACTTTCCAAAATTATCATGGGGCTTGTCACAGCACAAGCCGGGATCTGTGTATAAAAGTTATTGGCCTTTCTCATTTACCTGCTGTAGTATTGTTGTATATTGTGTGTGCGTGTGTGCGTGTGTGTGTGTGTATGATGTCAGGCTGCCATGTAAAATTTAAAAAAGAAAAAAAAATCTTAAATGCAGACCATCCTTTTTTGCATGCTTAGAAGGTAGAATGTTCAATGTAACAAACTAAAGTTGCATGTTAAAAATGTTTAGGTTTTTTGTTTTTGTTTTGTTTTATTTTGTGTTCAGTTTTTGTGAATTTGCTTATTGTGCTGTTTTAATGGATGTTAGTAGGACTAAATGCACCGGTGAGGCGAGCATAGTGCCAACAGAAGGTAATTTTCCAGTTGTATGTGTCACAGCATTTGAAGGGACCATGTATTCTGTTCACTAGTAAATAAAATCACAGTTGAATCTAAAACACCACATTTTTTCTTTTGAGTGCCAAACCCTAAATTAAGTTGAAATAGAAAACATAAAGACCTAAGTACATTGGGGAAAACCCTGTTAAACTTCACAAATCGCAATACATAAAAGTCTTTTTTTTTTTTCTTTTTTCAATTGATTCATTTTAAAACTGAAGGTTTCTTCGAGGACAGCAGCAATTACAATCAATACAGGGAAGGAGAATTATAGCTAAAACAGTTTCTTGTTCCTTTAAAATGCTGTGCTTTTTGTATTTTACATCATTAGTGCAATTTGGATGGTTCTTGGTATGTGTATAGTTCAAAGGTCTTCGTGTTCACATTTTAAAATTAGGTAATGACTTCATCTTTAGAGCTTGGTTTCATTATTTTTATTTTATTTTGAACAATGTAGACAGTTCCCTGTTCTCTGCATTTAGAAGTATAAACACTTTAAATCTGTTACTTAATTCTGTAAGTAATTTTTATAATTATGATGTAACTCTATCCTTAAAACATTTAAAATAAACCCTTTATGTGCAACTTATGACTGTAAATTTTGTTCTCACGAGCAAAATGTAGTGGTGTGGTCTAAAATTGTGAAGAAGCAGTTTCTTCAGTTTTATAATTAAAAAAGGACTTATTATTTTAACATTGAGCCATTTATGCTGGTATAATAATTTGCCATTTGAAACCTCTTTGCTTGCTAAAACAAATCTTTCTTCTCTCTTTTGCCAAGTAGGTATGAATGTTGATAAAATGGCATTTAAAGTGGATGAAATCTGATTGAGGTGAAGCATAGTGCTTAAATTTACTTTCTCAAAACACTGTGTAAGGGAATTCTGCACATGCATGAAGGAGCCTGTAAATTATTGTATTTTCAGTGCACGTTATAGTTTGCACTCTTAAAAGCAGTGACTCAGAAATTGTGAACTCCAGAAGCATTTGTCGGTTTGTAGACACTTACTTCCATGCCTGCTTTGAATCAACATTCATAATTAAATAACAAAATAAAACTTGAATTTATATTTCACTCACAACACAAAAAAGACTGAAAATTGGAGGTTTGAAACTGCTTCAATTATAGGCATAATATGTTTCACCTCAGCTTTATGAAGATGGGTAAGTATTATTCCCACTGTATACGTGAAGACAATATTTTTAAAAAATAGGGTGCCTAAAGGTAAGCTTGTAAGCCCATCTTTAGACACCTAAAATAAGTGGTCTGATGTTTTTCAAATGTGCTGAGCATACAGGAATGCGTTTTGAAGTCAGTGAGAGCTATTGGGTACTCAGCGCTTTGGGCATCCAAATATTTGGCTTGATTTTCAAAAGGATGAACTTTTCATACCAAGCTAATTAAGAGGCTAGCCCAAGGTCACACAGCAAATTAGCTGCAGCACTGGGAATTGCACCCAGATTCTTCTGATTCCATCCTATGTTCTATTGACTGGATTATGCTGCCTGAGAAATAAGTCTGAGTGAAAATTACTTTAAGTAATTGACTTATTTTAATGTTTACTATCTGTTCCATTGCAATCAGTTCAAACCCCTGGATTATATTTATAATCAGGCAGCCAGTTACAGGACTAAAATATAGTGTCTTTGATACTCTACCTTTTTTTCATCACATTTAACCAACTGCTTAATTGCTTCCAGAGTGGATAGTTAAAGAAACTCCTGGGGGGTTGTTTATCTTCCCCTCTGCCACCTCCCCAGACATGTTAACCCTCTTCATGGATTCTAAGTCCCTTCAACCATCCTTACACAACTGATTAAGACTTTGGGGAGGGAGAGAATGATACTCAGGAAGGCAGATGTGTTAATCCATCTGAGGGCAATCTACATAAAGCTAGCAAATAGTTGTTTAATGTGTAAACATTGAAGATGCAGATATCACAGCCCTAAACAGTCATTTATATTGTGTAGGGCTCTATGTATTCTCTGCAGAACCTAAAACTGCTTAACTGTAGCTAAAGGTCTTTTTAGACCTCTTATGAATGGAAGGATAGCCTTCCAAGTATGAACTGGCTTTAAACTGATGCAAGGTTGTCTTCATGTGTCTGCAAACATTCTAAAACAATATCTCAGAAAGGAATAATTTGTTCCTGTTTAGCTCTGAGGTGTTTACTTCAAAGCCTAATAGCCATTTAAATGGCATCCTTGTTAACATTTACCTTACTGATTACTTCAGCAAAAACACCAGGTAATCCATTGTTGCTTGCAAGGAGTGAATTGGAGTAGCTGGTTGTTAAGTTTTGTGCTGTTCCCCCTTATGGCCTCTCTCTAATTTTGAGGAGGAATGACTAATCATTTGGAGTTGAGGAAATCAAAAGTGATTTTTTTCATCCTTCTGTATTGTCGAAGGATAGATTTCAATTCTTCAGCCATATCTAACAGATGTGTCTAATTCAGCCTTCTCTCCAGTGATGGTGATTCTGTAATCTCACTGGGCATGACACACTGTCAATTCTGTTTGTTTTCTTTGCTGATGCCCATAACTCCAATTTGATGTGGATGACTAAATAAGAATGAATGATCCCTGTCTATTCTAACATCCCATTTTATATTTGAAAAGAGTTGTTTTCCCTGTGTTACTTTCCTTCAGATTGACATTGCCACTCCTGTAAGCTTTCTTTAAATTCTGTTCTCATCATTTTATTAGTGTTGTTGCTCTCTCTGAATTTTCATTAATTTCTCTTCCAAATTTGGAGTATTAAAACAATCCAAATGTCATATACTGCAGTTAAGGCACTAACCAGTGCCAAAATAAGCTGATGTCAAGTTAATATCTCCCATTCCATTTTGATACGATTGATTATTCTTCCCTACCGCATGTGAAATTTTGCTAAATTTTTAAATTTAATTTTATTGATTTCAATCCATTGTTCTGGTTTAAAGATTTTAAATCTTATTCGACAAAACAATCTCTCGCAGATTAACAAATGCACAGAAACATAGGTATAATTTAGCATACTCTGTACTCTACCCATCAAGTCATTAATTATAGCTAAGACCTGACCCTTGTAAGACCTCTGGGAACATCTCCATTCAACTTAACACTAACCATTACTTAGGCATTCTCTACACCCAAACTTCAACTGGTTTTATTAAAAACGATTTGGTTAAATAAGTGCGCAAACCTCTGTGTGAACATTTACTTTGGTTTCTTAAACCTGTTTCACATTGACGTAATTTAAACCAAAATAAGCCACTCAAATGAAATAAGAGTATCACACAGCCTTTTACAGTAATTTAATAGCACATTTTAAGTGTAAACTAGCACAGTTCTGTGTATACAAGCCCTCAGAATTTTTTAATGCGTGTCCCTATTATCTCACTTAAGTTTGCGTGTCACACAGCCCTGTAGTGTTGTATCAGATGCCCTAAATGACTGTGGCCTTTTTATTCACTAGGTTTGTTAACCTACCAAAAAAGGAGAAGTTGAGTGGGCATTTGGTATAAAGCCATTAGATTCACTAACCAAAGATGAAGGTGTACTCACCTTGAGCTGAGTTGTGGACCCATCTCCCTGGGACATGAGGATAATTCTTTGTACCCATTCTATTCCTGCTCGCCAATGAAGTTGCCACTTGTGGTGATGAAAGGTTTTTTGTAACTTAGGCACGTCTGTTAAGTTTGGCATTTGAGTGGATTTCACTGTGTTCTGATGATTTGACTCTTCCCTAGGTATTTATTTTAATCCTTTGAAAATGTGAATCAATTTATATTTTTAAATCTCTTCACAAGTTTGATCAATTAGAAAATGAGAACTTCTTAAAAAATCATTGTTATAAACATGTTAAGGAAATACTTGTAAAATGTGAGTTCATCATGTGACCTATGATGTCCAAAGAAAGCTTGTTTGGGAGTCAGCGTGGCCCAGTGGACAGAGCACTAGACTAGGAAAGTGGTCCTAGTCTCATCTCTGCCACTGGTTTTCTGTATGACACTGGGCAAGTTGCTTTCATTTCCTTGTCTGTAAAATGAGAATAATGGCTTATCTTTTTGAAAGTGCTCTTGAGATATATGGAGGGAAAATGCTAAAGAGCTAAATATTACTGTACTTGATGGGCAACTCATCAGCCCAGGCAGGTGAGGCAAAATCTAACAAAATTCTCAAAAGCTACAAAGTACATTTTGTATATTTTTATTGCATTGATAGACACACAGATTTAAGGACAAATTGTGATTTGATTTAAATATCACAACTCCCTCCAGTAGCAAAACACCGCCAGAAAGTTTGAAGAATGTAGTGCTGCATGAGGCTCAAATCTTGGGATAGCTAAGAGTGCCTCAAGAAGCTGCTTTGTTCACATGGCAATTTACCATGCCCAGGAGTCACTTTATAAGAATGTGGTAATCCCTGCTTGGTGAGGCCACAGTGGGATTGTAGAAGTTAGGCAGGTCTGCAAAGGCCCTGTACCTCCCCAGCCTCCCTTCCCCAAGGGGTAAGTGTATGCCTGCATATGCATGAGGAGCCCCTGCCAAGCCCAGTGGCGGTTCCAGCTCCTGGGTCAGCCTGCTGCTTCTTCACCGTAAAGAAGGTAAGTTTTTAATAGCTATTAAATTATAGATTGGATGAGTACGGAAATACATATCTTATGGGTTTGTACCTCATCTGTCAAAGCCATAAGCTGCTATTGCTTGATAAGCAAGAAATCTGCCACAAAAGCCTGTAGGCCTGTAGCCTAAAAGGGTCAAAACAAAGGATAGAATCAGGAACCCAAAGAACATGCCCAACTCTAGGGAAAGGATGGCAGCAGCTGACCAAATTCACTTCTAGGGGAAGCATACAGTTACTTTTGCTCGTGGTATGTTATTGTGCATTGCATCGAGGAATAGTGTTTTCAGTAACTGGTTCAAAAAATTCTTTATCTCTGTGGAGAGTCCCACCAACATGAGTTTGTTCATCTATTCTCTGGGTCTTGCACCGTTTCCCAGGTGTATTAATTCTGTGCCTGCCAAGAATTCACTCGGATCAATAGCATAATTGTTATTATAGTATAAATTCACTCCATATGTGATGGGGTGTCCACCCCACTCAAAGCAGAGCAGGTTAAATTAAGTTAATTAATCTGATGGACTGCATGGATGGGGAAAGACAAATGATTGAGCATGGCTGAAATGGAACAGGTGGGGATAGTAGAAAGCCAAGATGTTGGCAGCAGAACAAGGCTGCAAGGGAAGTAGTCTGCAGTCCCTCCCTGGGAGAAGGGAGATGTGTTTGGGGCTATGGAGTTAAGAAGTCTTCAGTTACTCCCTGGGAGGAAGGAGTTTGGGCTGGTAAACTCAGAATGTGGGAAGCCAGAAGACATAGGAAGGAGTCCAGGAAAATAGCAACAGGGTCTGGGAGAAAGCAGGTTGCCATTGCTAGACATAGGTCCCTGCACTGGAAATCTGGAGTAGAAGGCAGGCTCAGGTTCCCCTACCACCACTTGGGGAAGCAGCAGGTTCTGGCCAGTGAAGGGAAGACTGCCATTCTGGATGGAGAGACTTTGATACCCCGAAAGGGGAGGACTACAGTGACCTGGTTGGAGGGCCAAGCCATGAAGAGAGCACTCTGAGTCACAGAGAGAGCAAGGGCATGCAAATGAGCAGCAGATGGAGTTTGGGGGTTGGGCCTGGAAGGAGCTAATCCCCAGAAGAGCCAGGAGG